GTGGCATAAATTGGACCAAACAACAAAACTTCGATATAAACTTTTATTAATAAATTTGGATTTAATCGGCTGTAATTCGGCAGCCGAATAATCCAATTTGGACTAGTGGAAGCTATAATAAATGTTGATTATAACAAATTTTTGAATTTTAAATTTACTCAAAATTCATTATAAAAAGAGAATTTTATTATATAAATTTTTATTAATTAGTCCGAAGGCTTTGTTATATCCAAGTTTGACTGTATTTTGTATTAAGATTAAATAAACCTTATAAATAATTATTTGATAATAATAATAATAATAAATTAATAAATATATGTCTAGCAATTTTATTGAAGAAAAAAAAATAATAAGTATTTGTTTTATAATTAATTGTTGAAAAATATAAAATTAATAAATTAATTGATATTATTATTATTATTTTTTTAAAGGCAAAGTGTATTAAAGTGTATTACATGCAAACTTTTATTAACTCAAATTAATTGATATTATTATAATAATTTTAATCAAATATATATATATATATATATTAAAAAATAATTGGTTTTGTATACAATATATAAAACAAACCAAAGCATATTTTATTATAACAGTCTTATATATATTAAATTATTATTTATTTATTTTATAAACCATTTATCTTATAAATTGTTATTTTTTAATAATTTTTTTTATCAATCTTAAAAATAACAAATTGTGAAAAATATTTTCTAACAATAAAATTTAACTAGTGATTCTTTTTCATCATCAATTTCTTTGTAGAAATTGTAATCGACCATATTTAGTTATTAATAAAATATGCATAGATTGTATATTGTTAATTAGCATAAAAAGTAAATACTGTATATATATATATATATTCCAAAAAAATAATAATTGAGGTTAATATATATTGCATAAAATAAATTATTTTACTTGATCTTTTTTTAAATATACTATATTACTAGTTTGTAAATTTTTTATCAAATATAATAAATATACTTGAATTATTTCATGGAGAAACCGCAACAATGCGTTAAAAAAGAAGGAAGATCGAAACTCTTTTTATGCCAAAACAGGGATAAAAAAACCTCAGACTTTATTTTTTGATGATGAAACTTCAAGCTGTAAATATTGAATTACGACATATTGAAAAAAATTATACTAAAAGAAATTAAACAGACATAGACAAAAAAGAAAAATAACGAAAAGAAAAAACATAAAAGAAAAAAAAGAAAAAATTCAAATACCACATATGATAAAAAAGATGACGGTCCTCTATAAACACGAAATATAGAAACCGCCGGGTATTAGGGAAACATAAAAGGAAATATTTTTTTTTTTTAGGAAATCGCAAAAGGAACTATAGGTACTATTCATATTTAAGGGATTCATTAGAGGGCTCCATTCATAAAAAAGGGACTGCATCCATCAAAAGAACTTGATTCACAAAGGGCTGTTTGTTCACAATAAAATATAATAAGGACAAGTATAAAATGTATTTACAAGATGGGCAATGTTATTTACAGGAACATTATATACAAGGTAAAAGAAACCTATATGTTCGTGAGGCGATTGACATTATTTACAGAAGGGCTGGAATGAAGGGGCTATTTTCGCATGTAAGGACAAAATACATTCGTTAAAGAACAAATGAATTAATGAATCCAAAATCATAGAGATAAAAAAAAATAAAGAAATGAGGAATGAGGGATTATTATGACACGTAATTATTACAAGGGAATGCAATTTTTCTCTAAATAGGCTATATATTACATTATATACATCATTTCTTACCTCCGATTGAAATTCGCAAAGGAGGGAATTTGAATTGCTTCTATTAATAGTAGGTAATGATAATGATGATAATGATAAGGAGTTGGTTCGGCAACTGAGCTGCTTCTCAGGGTAGCGTCACACTTATAGTATTTTGGATGGCGGTTCGACAGGTGTTTTAGCTTCACATGATGACAGTGGTTAAGGGAAATGATGGGAAAATGCGAATATGCGTAATGAGAAGCAGCAATTAGATTGTTGGCCGGAACAACTCCGGCAGAACGATCGCGTTTGAGATCTTTGTCCTGCTGTGAGCACAATTGTAGAATTGGTTATTTGTATGACCATTTCCTCAGACGAGAAAAACTTTCTTACCTATCATCAATGGCGGAGGTCAAGCCGAAGCCAAATAACGAACCGAGGAAACTTAACCTCATTTACTATTTTACTTATGTTAATTCGTCATTATGGAAATATTCATTCCGGGGAATTGAAGATCTCTTGGAACGATGATGGGTCCAAGGGGGTTTATATATTAAATGACCTGCTTCAGAGGTTATCAACTTTGACCAGTTTTTGTTCAAAGCCCCGTAATTAATTTAATGAATTCAGGTTCTCTCGATTTGACCCAGCCTCTTTGGCATGCTATTGAGCCAGGTTTTTTCCAGTTTTCTTTCTTCATAATATAATCAAACTTAATTTTTGACTATCAGAAGTATCATTAGGCAGGGCTTAGACATCAAACTAAGGCTTGGAATATGATCGGAATTAATTTATTTTTTAATATCCCGTCCATCCATAATGATACATTTCTTGATTCATTACTCGCTTAATGAAAAATTTCTCGGAAAAATATTTGCTCATCAAATCGATGTGTTTTGTTTTCAAACAATACGCATAATATGTCATTCATGCCATTTATAGAAATCAAGGAACTTATAAGCTTAATCTGAGATCATGTACATTGTCGATCCGTCATTAAACGTGGAGAGTGGCTTTGCCTTTTTTCTTAAAAAAAGGAAAAAAGAAAATGAATGATATTTCCTATGACAGTATTTCTATAATGACATTCCGAAGAAGGAAATTTTATTATATGAGGTTCACCATCAACGTGGCTTGGTGTTTTTTTTTGTATACAATTATCGCTTATACAATGCACGGGAATGACGGAAATTGGTTTTGACTTTAAAGGCAAGAATTCGAGAATAAAGTTATTTATTAGTTATTTTTACACAATGATATTTTTTTTAAAAGATTTCCGGACAACATTCAAACAATCTGTCTCTTCATCTCCTCGATTCTTCTCAACAATTCGTCAATCTTTTCGTTAGTATCATTTGTATCCTCATTATACCCAATCAACAGATTCTCCAATTCCTCTTGCGCTTCTTTTATATCCTGTTCAACGATTCGCTCTAAGGCCTGAATTTCCTCGGTCTCATTGCGAAATTCAAACATTACGTCTAATTGTGAAATTGAATCGGGAATGATCTTTTCTCGAAATTTTTCGAGAATTTCGTGTGCCTCGTAACTGAGTATACATTGATTATGATACCTGATGCTAAAGGTCTCTAAGATGTTGTCGAATGACAAATAATTCTGGGAATTTTGTATCGATGTTAACTCTCTGGGTAGAATCGACAAGGAATTGGCCGAGACAAAAGTTAACTTACCTCGTAAAGATTTTCGGCAGTTAAGCCGGGTTTAACAATTTCATCCCACAATTTTTCCGCAACGGTCTCATTAAACTTTTTTAACCGTTTCGAGTTCGATTCTCGAAATTCCTCCTCAATCTTAGAAATTTTTTCATAAAATTTCCTTTCAACAGCGTCACCAACATTGCCAACGCACTTTTCCCGAAATATGGTCTCTGCCTCTAACATATGTTCATGATGGTAACACTCGAAATTCTCCCAACTCACCGGAAAATCATCGATTTCTCTGACAGTCATCATCGTGTTATAGTAAGTGGTGCCTATGTCAAATGCCAAAGCCGACATGGAATGAACAATGATCTCATACTCATCGGGAATCGAAAATTGAGCACAATGTTTTGAGGAGTTCATATGATTTATACAGCCGGTGAGAAATTTTGAAAAGGAGGTGCCGGTTAATGGAACGGAGAATATACATTTTGCGGTAAGATTACAAAGGATTTCTTGTACAGATTGAGAGGTTTTTTCGATAAATTCCTGATCGAGATCAGAAGTTTGAATTTCTTCCAAGTGTTGAATTTGTTTTCTTTTGCATCCTGGGTGCTTTTTCAAAGTAAAAAGATCGAATCAGCTAATTTTCGATGGCAAAGTAAAATTGATACCTACGGGTAACCCATAGACGTCGAAATCTTTGAAATGGTTCGTGATTCCAGCCGCAGCTTCAGCATAAATGATAAATCATATATCAGTTGGATCAAAATCTAATAGAATTCATCAAGCGAATGAATGATACCTTCGCTATCGACCTGTTGCAATTTTTCCAAAAAATATTCTCTAAAACTGTCCGGTTCATCCAAACCAAAATCTCTCAGTAGGACCACCAGTCTCGGTAATACGTCGTTATTTTCTTCCTCCTGATAATTTTCGTCTTTTCTTTTGATGTATTTGTTAAGATTTGTCATCAGATACAACTTTCCTACATCACCCCTACCGACAATTCCGTTAATATTATAAACAAAGGTTGACGATATTGCCAAACATAGAATGAATAATTTTGTTGCCCAGTTGATGTCTTGGTTCGGATCATCTATGCCTTCGCAGTCGAGTACTAATACTCTGTTACCATTGTGTAAGAACGGGCTGTCCCACATGAAAATCCCGCGAGTACATCCTTGGGTTTTTGCACCAAGTTCGAAGCCGTCGTGGCGACCGTGAAATAAATTGGCGAAATAGGATTTTCCTCGACGGTAGGAACCGACTTTTTGCGTTGGGGATTTATTATTATTATTTTTTTTATGAATTGAAAAATAGTATATAAAATCGAATTACCAACTGAAATAACTGCAATTGGTTCTTCAATATTCTTGATGATTTCAAGTGCGCAAGGATTTACGGTGATTTCTCCTGTTCCATCTTCACTTTCACTCCCGATATAACTTATTAGTTGAATAGCTTTTCCTTGACGGTATTCAATTTCATCTCCAAATCTGTTACCATCATCCAACGACATGGTATCTTGGTGAACGAAAGATTTTTTAAAAAAAAAATAAAATTTTTGATGCAATACATAAAGTGCAAACTTATATATACGTACTAATTCGCCACCCATTGTTTCCATATTGATCATTGTATATCCTAGTCTTATATTGATCATTGCCTTAATTTGTCATAATTTTGTAACAAATAATTACGTACACATTATCTATTACCAAGATTTAAAAGCAACGAATTGTTCGTTTTCGCTGTACTATAAAAGATTTTGGTTGTCCATAAAAAGTAACTTTAGTTAAAATTGGTACATCATATTTTATTAGTGACTCGCTATATCGAATATCAATTGCGGTTGTTCTATATCGAATTCAAAAGGAAAATTACATTCAATTTTTTGTTGATGGTATTGCTGAACGAGTTTCCTGCTTGATATTTCAAGAATCAATGATGCCATTCCAGATACAAAGATCCGAGCAAGCGACCCTTCATCTAATCGACTCAATTGGGATTTATCATTGCATTTCCATCAAACCATTTCACATCCCAGGAGGTTTTTACAAAAAACGACACGCGTCGGGCGAAGACCGCACGCAATTTACTCGTTATCCAATAAATGTTGGTCCGAGATCTGCGATGGTAAAAGTTTCTGTTTCCAATTTAACGTTTTCGATATCAATCTTCTATTATATTTTGATTTTTTGTAGTTTCATCAATGAGATTTCCTTTGGAACCTGGCAACCGTGGCTCAGCTTGTGATTCATTTATAATAATCTTGTATTTTTTAGGAATTTGTGGTGTGGGTTCTTTTGGTAATAGTTCTTCAAAGTTTGACAATGGTAACGCGGGGAATTCGGGTGATGGATCGGTTTGTGTGGCTCTACATAAGAATTCACGTGCTTTCTTTACCTTTTTTTTTCTTGCACGCACATGTAAAAAAACCCCATAAAAGACACCAGTCAAAAATAAAAGACCAAAAAACAAGGACATAATAAAAGCTAGCAATGCTTGTTTGTTAAAGGCTGTTTCATTGATTGGTGTATTTGAAGGAATGGTAAGTGTAGATGTCACAGGTGGTACGTGATCTTGAAGAGTTAAAAGAATGGGTGTGATGGCAAACGTCGAAGTGATTTTAGGATCAATTTGATGATCGATTGCGACCATGTTTAGTGGTTTTAATATATGCTCAAAGTAACAGGAAAGAAAGAATGGCCTATAGTTCGATTCGGTTTTCAATTTAATCTTTCGTTCGAGCGTCACCATTCTTTATATATATTTTTTGTTAATTGTCCAAGGAATTTTTTCTTTTATAAGAACCTGTAGACTCTTTGTGTCTTTGCAGCGTAACTTCGATTGTTGGTAATCAAAACTTTAATTTTACAATATAGAGCACGTGCTTCAAAAAAAAAAAAACAATGCGTTATAAGCATAATTCTCTTTAGGATATCCAGTATTATGTAGTCGGAAGTATTAATGAACGTGATCGATACAAGTAATAAGAATGACTATTTTTGAAGCGACAAGAGCTCGGTGCCTGTAATTTAAGTGATTTATTGTACAATTATATAGCTTATTCAGTTAAATTGTATATACGTATTATATGAAAAAAAAATTTTTTTTTAAATAGAACATGGTTTTTTCGCATTATTGTATTATGTATCATTGTTATTTATAGCATTTAATTTAACTAGCAGATCTGATGACTTAAATCGATCGTCAACGTAGGCGATGTATACTAATACAGTATATACAGTAATTAGCTTCATATTGATCATATAATATTGGAAAAAAAGTTGATTTTTTAAATTATAAATATTCATTATTATGAAATAATTATTAAGAGTAAAATAAAATAATGATAACAATTTAATCTTAACATTTAACTAGGTTAGGTTTAATTAGCTATTTAAAAAACTTTAATGTTTTAATAAAAAAATAAACTTAGATATTAATACAAATAGGTTTATTAATACAGTACATATCTATTTATACTGTACGTATCTCACATTTAATCAACATATCATATATAAAAAAGATTATAATTGTATTAAAAAAAAATGTTATTTATTATAAAATTATTTTTGTTAATTTTTGTTAATTTTTGTCAAGTCAAAAAACACATTTTAAAAATTGGTTTATCTTTATAATAATAAAATATATACTTTTTTTAATAACACTATCTTAACAATATTATGAGCAATATTTGTTATTTGTTTTTTTTTTAATAAAAAAAATTTTATAAAAAAAGATTTTATTTAAAGATTTTAAAAAATTAAAAAACATATATACAGTCTGTTACAAAAGTTTTTGAATTAAGATTTTTTAAAATAATTTAATAATTAATTATTTAGTTTATATAAAATTTTAAATATATATCAAAAAAAAAACTCTTTCCTATTCATTATTACATTTCCTAATTAGAAAATTTTCTTCAAAAAAAAAACTCATCAAGTTCTTTTCTCAAGAACACTTCAAATATCAAGAAACAATATCATTGTCAGATATAACAAACTAAGAACACACTAATTAGTACTAATTTATTAATTTATAGATCATAAAGTAAGCAACTTCGATTTATTTTCTTTTTGTAAAAGAGAAAAATAAAAATCAAGCTTCCTGATTCACAGTAAGATCTCAGGAAGTCAATATTCTTGTTACTACTATAGCCAGTCATATGTCAGGTTAAACACCTTCTCTAAACACTATAGAAACTCAAAGAAGGTCAGATTTCATCTGATAAATCAGACAACCTTGCCATCTTCCTTGAGTTAAAAGAATATCAGACTTTTCATCATCTTTACAGAGATAAGAAAAAAAACCTTATCATATACAGGGTGATTCAAAATTTTTTGAAAAAAATAATTATTTTTTACTTTATAAATATTATATTAATTATAATTTT